GCACTCCCTGCTCCTTCAGCCGCTGTTCGCACAGCATGCTGCGCCGGGGCACGAACAGAATGTGAAAATCACGTGCTGGATGCATCTTGTCTTCACTAAATATATTCTCAGCAATGATGTCCATAAGTTCCAGCCTGGGACGGACAAAGAAGATGATGTTTTTCACATCAGCAGGGGGGAGTCTGCCACCCTTCAGGGTAAACATCTTTTCCACTTCATGTTCCTAAAAACACAAAGGGTGTAAATTAAAACCATGGCTTCAGTGAGCAACAAGTCATTAAAATATCAACAGAATTAGATGTGAACTTTTGGGGTTTGGTGAGTTAAAGTTTACATATTAATTTACAGATGAGGTACTTACCTTAAGCAAAGAATACTGAGCTATCAGACCAAAAGGTCCAGTCAGGTACTCATCCCAAACTATGGCCTGAAAAGCATGAGAATGTGTTACTATGCAAGCTGGATGTTTCTATGCACTCAACATGACATGACAGCCACCATGTTTTAGGATGCTTTAAGATGCATTTGGGCTGCTTTTGTTTAAGGTGCACAGTTTTAAATTATAGATTTACCAAAATATAGTAGTACAATCGAAAGTGATAAAATGGGACTAAACCGATCGCACATAAACTAAAGAGTGTCTAGCAATCAAGAAGAGCTTGGCATGATTCCAGGCAGATATTTGATCAATCTTCTGTTAGGGAAAGGGAGATTTAATCGAAATGATTTGGTTAAACAGTTTCAAATCCACACATTTTCAATAGGGTGTAAGCCATGGCCTTTCCACTAGGGCAGGGGTCTTCAAAGTTTTCCAGGCCAAGGACCACCAAACTGATGGCAAGATGGAACGGGGAACCCCTAAGAAATTGTGTTACATTAAACTGGTCCTATAGTCACTCTATTACAGATGGAGTCATGTAACGAAAGTAATTTCTCCCTGTGATTATTAAAGTATTTCTGATTCTGATTCCTGGTTGATGGGACAGGTATTGTGAATGAAACGATGCCCAGCTTGAAAGAGCTCCTGTGTGTCGCTGAATGTGTGCATTGATCATGGGCAGTTCTAGAAAGGGGCCAACAGGGGCCAGTGCCCCTGTAGATCATGTTATAGCCCCTGTACTAAAGACATAATACTCAGAGAAATTCTAATTTGGGCTGGAACAGACATGATTACTGATAGGTCCTTTGGATCCTTTTCATTTTTTTCTTTACAAATTCTGTTTTACTTATTATTTAAAAACAATAAGGCGATAGCTTCAGTGGTGTTGAGATACGAATCAGGTTTTCTTCTGCTCAATGTTTTTTTCAAAACAAATTGCTATAATTTTTATGGCTGAATTTATCAGTTTTTCTTGAGTTCTAATTCAGATTTCAGAGAAAAACAATAATTTTAATATAAATCAGGTCAAAAATATGTAAAATTCCTAATTCATGAATGTTTATTGATCCAATAGGAAGTAGAATTTTAATAATTAAACCTAATTAAATAGAAATTTCATTTCATGCAGCTCTCTTAATATATTTGAATGCCTTTTCTGTTCCCCCATGAAAACACGCTGGACCCCCTCATACATTTGGTCTAGAACAGCCACTGGTGTCGAATTCATGTGTATTTAAAGACATTTCAATTAGTGGAAAAAATTGTAGGGGGGAATATAAAAAAAAAAAACTAACAAAGCAAAACTTTAGTGACCTCCAAGCAATACCTCTGTGGACCCTCTAAGGGTCACGGACCCTCTGTTGAAGACCTCCGCATTAGGGTAATGGATGAATACTTTATTCTTTTCAAAAACTAGAATATGTAGAAGTACATGCTGCTGTCCACAATGAAGTTAGTTCAATGTCAAGTGGCCACAGGTTTAGAAATAGGAGCCTGCTCCAAAACCATCATCATCCTTTTATTTTTCAAATAAAAAAAAAAAGGATTTATGGTTAAACTACAAAGCTATTTCTATCTCAGCACAATGTCAGGTGTCTTTTTTTTTTTGATGGACTCTTGGTAGGGGAAGCTTTCCAACCTCAAAGGGCACAGAATGGAATGTGAAGCACGGTGGTGGTAGAATCATAACGAGGCTCTTCAGTTGTTTGCACAGAGATAATGTTTTTTGCCTTTTGTTCTGTGCATTAATAAATTTTTAGGCATTTGGCCAGAACCTCAATATAATTAAAAAACTTTTTTTTTTTCTCTCTCATTTTCAAGGGATGGTTAGCAACCCTATGCACATCTGTTACAAAAGCGTTAAACAGTAAGAAAAAACCTTACTACTGTTCTGACAAATTCATGATTGAAAGCACAGATAAAATGCTGAATATAGACAGATAAAGCAGACTGAAATAAAGCGTCTGAAATAAGTCTTATCTCCAATCTTTAAGAAAATATATTGGACTTGGTGCAACTAAAAGGACGTTTTTAACCGAATGGTAGGCTTAAGATTCGAATAAACGTACACCTAAGTGAATGCAAATAGGAAAAGGTTTTATCTTAAAAAATAGGAAGTAAGAAAGCAGTTAATATGAAAGCTGATTAGCCAGGTTCTGTCACTCTATAAACTCGTATAATCCCTGAAAAACGTATTTGAATTAATATAATTCAGAATAAACTTGTTTAACTAAAAACTGTGCAGCGAAAAGCGATTAATGCCGTACAGGCTTGGTTCTGTGATGTCAGAGGAGATAAAACTGCTCAGTTATGTTTCATTTAGCATCTTAGTTGGAATCTGAAGGGAGACATCCAAACACAACATTCTGTATTTTTCTTTTGTTTAACCGCATTAAACGGCTGCGGAAGAGTTTCTCACCTTAGTTCCTGCACATTTGTCCAAAAATTCTCGAAGCTCTTTTCGTGCCGCTTCTCTCAAGATGTTTAAATTAACTCTGCCGTAGGACAGATGGGCCGCCATTTTTTCCTTCAACAACAACAACCTACTGAAGTCAGGTGACTCCAGCAGGAAGTCTTCTTCTTCCTCTTTGTTAGATTGGCGGATTGTAAACAACTACTAGGCGCATACCGCCACCAACTGTACATGAGTGTGTAGCTCTATAGTTCCACCTACTATATTCTATTTTTTTATTTTTATGTTATGTAAAAATAAAAACAATGCTTTGTTAATAATCAAAATTTCCTTTAATACTCCATTCTCTCCATTGTTGTTAAAAGAAAAAGTCTCCCTTTTTCTATAATTACTTTCCTCATCTTCTCTCTTTCCAGCAGGAAGTCAAGATTTTCTTCTTCTTCTTTTCTATTATTACGGATCGCAAGCAACTTTAAGTTTAATACCACCACCTACTGTACGTGAGTTTGTACCAACATGACTTCACATCAAATTCTATTTTTTTTTTTATTTTGTATTCTGTATTTATGAACCAGAAAGGGAGAAAATTAGAAGAATGGTTGGAAGGACAGGCCAAGAATGGAGTCTTAAAGGAATATTGGGAAATGAAAAAATATAAATGATATTTACAGATTAAGGAAAGCATTATTTATTTATCTTCAGAATACAACATAAAAATATAGAATTTGATGTAAAGTAATGTTGCTACACACTCGTGTACCGTAGGTGGCGGTATGCACCTTGAAGTTGTTTGTAATCCTCCATAATAGAAATGAAGAAGAAGAAGAGGGGGGGGGGGGGGGTCTTTCAGTAAGCGAGCGGTCAAGATAGTTCACACCCTGTTCCAATCAGTATAAATATAAAGTTTTTTTTTATTCTTTCCAATATGACTTTGCAATACAATGATTTAAAATAAATGTAAACAAATTAATAATGTAGTGCATTGCGGTTAAATATTTGCTGTTGATATGTCTTTTTGTAAGTAACTGTCTAAAATACCACAACTAAAAATAATAAAAAATGAAATATAATAATAATAATAATAATAATAATAATAATAATAATAAACAATAAAAATGAAATATATATAATAATGATATCATTATTATAATAATAATGACGTAGACAGATTTATTTGTCATTTTGTTTACACAAGTGTAAAACAAAAAGAAATTTCGTTTAGAACAGCTCTCTGGACAATTTCATTTTTTTTTGTGCAGCCTTGAAAAATTGTAAAAAAAAATATATAAAAACAGTAATATAAACATATGACTGCAAATTTACAGTTCTAACATTTTCATTTTTTTTATGATAAAATATAATAAATATAATTAAATACTATACAATAACCCATTTTACAAAACAGAGAAATGTTACGGGCTCGGGACACGCATAATAATAATAATATTAATAATAACAATAATAATAATAATATTAATGCATAACACATGAGTCTACTTACAAAAAAGGAAGTAGAATAGTGGAACTATCTTGGTAGGTCGGACATCTATGATCTTTTCTTGATGTGGGCGCGGCAGTTAGATGTGCGTAGAAGTTATTCTAACAAGATTAGTTATTAGTGGGGAAATTAGTTAGTTCACTATAGCATCAAATTGTGCCTCCAATTCGTCAAGTGTGCAATCTAAATAAGGCTTAGATAATAGGACTTCATTTTATGATGTAATAAAGAGTAGAAACGTTAGATGGCGTAGTGGCTCCGTTGTTCAAATAAACTCAATCGAAAATGTTTCTCTGTAGGATATCTTCAGATAGCCTATTTGTTTGATTAAAAATAGATAAAGTGAAAGCATACTTTCCCTACGTGTGTTTGACCAAGAATATGGGATTTAAGCAAATAAAGGAAGAAAATAAAAAATTTAGAACGTGTGCTGCCTGTAAGACACATTTAAATGGGTTCTATTATAAAACAGATAAACGTTTTCCCTCAGTTAAAGTTCAGATGCTGTGATAAATATGTGATAAATAACTATAAATAGTAAAAAAGAACTTGTTAGGCAGTATAATGCTGTTAAACCGACATTGATCTCTCAATAGAGCTGTCTGGATGCTGAGATAAATTTAGTCCGATCTTAGGAAAACTGGATGAGGTGCTGACTGCCCACTTAAGCATCATACTGTTATCACTTCAAATCCAGGGGTTTCCTTCCCACGGTACCAAGGGCTTTTCATCTTCCACGCAGGAAAGAGGACCATCTCCCCACGCACTGTGATGCAGGGTGCGTGTGTTCAGCCCCATAGAAGAAGGCATCTCCTGCAATCGATGACTAAATATATAATAAATAAATAAATCAGTCAAAGAGGCAGTGGTTTAGTGAGTGGCACCATGCGCGATGATTAATCAGTGTGTAGCTGGATCCTGGCAGCGCACAGAAATCCAGTCCGCATCATTCCCTGACAGCACTACGAGAGAGGGGAGGCAGAGGCACGGCTCGGATCTCAGGTAGGCTCCAGCATCTCATTGATGGCTTCTCATCCTATCAATTTTTTTAATCTTAATTTGTTTTATGCAAGTTGAATGAATGCATCACTTCATTCAGAGAGTGGGAGACAAAGAGAGAGGGAGACGCGCTGTGCAGCTCTTAGGATGGACTGCATCTCATTGCTTGTGTTAATTTGATGGAGGAAATCATTTGAGTGAAAAATTTATGAATGGGTGTATTACAATCTGTATGCACAACGGGCTCCACGGTTAAACCTGGAGCAGCAGCAGTGCAAATGTAATGCAAGCATCCTAACTCATGCAGAGGCTCTGATGCTCATTGACTCCTTAAACGTTGTCAAGTGCTTTGATTCTGGACCAAGTTTATTCACTGATAGCTGGTTGTTTTGAATGTAACTCACAGTTAAGCAGGTCATGCTTAAACTCAAGCTTTAAGTCTCCACTTAAAGAACCTAATTTCCTGATTAAGCAGTCCTTTCTTAGTGCAGATCCAATATGAGGAAGCAGCACTGGTCAGTTATTTTGGAGATTGAGTTGTTGCAGTCCCTGGGCGTTGCTGCAGGATTTTTTTTTTAAAGCACATGCTGGTGTTTGATCTGCTTGCAGCCTAGAAAGGAATGACATTAGTGTAGCCTCCAAAAATCAGCAGGGCAGCTTTAAACTCCAGCTGTGGCTCTGAACAGGTGATTCACTTGTTTACAAGTGAGCTCCTTCATTGTTAAGATTTTTGCACCAGAAGTGTGAGAAAGGCCCAGCATGGATCATTGACACTGATGTCATAATTGAAAAAACAAAACAATGTCTCCTCCATCATCTCCAACCTATGGACTTGAACTACTGGGATTAGATGGGGGAGGGGAGAAAAGACTGAATGAACAGTCGGAGGCATATCTGCTGCTCCCTCCCTTCACATGAGCAACCACAGTATGGGTACTGGCCGACACCCCTCTATATATTTCTTTGTCTTTGTGCTAGCCTCTTGTCATTTTGTGGACAGAAAGGGGTATACAGAACAAAAGAGCAGAGTAAAGACGAGCACACATTAGGGACAGGGAGCTTCTGTGAAACAGGAGTATTTGGGTAAAACATGGGAATAAAGATGGAGGGATGGAGTAAGTGCTTTGCACATCAACTGCATTATTTAAAGCTGGATGCCGCTGTACCCATAATCCCATGTTTTCACAGTGTCTTCCTTTAAAACCGTCCTCTTATTTCATTTATGCCAGCTGCATCTATGACCTGTTCTGTATGGGCTTTGAAATTAGGTGCAGGTAGCATGAAAACACAGATGTGTGGAAACATGGGCAGACACACATGTATGCAAAGCATTTCATCACTCCGACTGTCGTCTTTTGATTTTGCTGTTACCATGGCCACAATTGGTAAAGGTGGGTGACTCTGTTCTTCTGTGGTCCTCACTCTCCATAAAATATACACTCTTGATGTACAAATTGGGGAGTCAAACTTTACAGCTTTATAGATTTTTAGTGACCAATTTGTTAAGGGGGATGCATAATGTAATTTGTGCTGGAGTTTCAGTAGGGAGTGGCTTCATTTTCACATCTTAATAAAATAAATAGATAAAAAATCTACACAATATTTTGTAGTGTTTATTTTATACAAATTTCCCCCCTTTGTTAAATAGTGTAAATGACCAAAACTTCAACGTTTCCACAGTTATTTCTAAGACGTTTACGTTTAGAGTCAAATGGTAATCTTCAGTTATTCATTTAAATTTTTTCAAAAGCTGCACTAAAGCATTTCCAAAACGTTCTACAATGTGCAACCAAAAAAAAAAGTTAATAATCATCATATTTTGGTCTATATGCAACACTGTGTGGCTGGAAAAATGACAGCAGATCAATTGGATTTTATTCCACTATATAACATGGTATTGAAGGCAAGAGGGAACGCTGAAAGCGGCCAGAAAAAATCTATAAATAGACAAAAAAAACTTTACAGAATTACTTTACCTATATGGTTTGTCTTCCTCATTTTATTTTATGTCAAAAGCTGGGACAAAGCCTTCTTGTCTCCAGACCAGCTGTCAATGTAACATGCTTCTGTTGCCCCTTTTTTAATAATTTATAAAGCATTTAATCATATTGATGTCAGGTTTCAGTGGTGGTTTGAGGACCCAAAAGCAGAGGCAGAGGCTGAGAAGATTTCTTGCAGCTTTAATGAAATTAACAGAGGTAACAGAGGAGGGAATCCAAAAATCCAAAATCAAACATGAAAAATATAAAGCAAACCAGAACTATGGAGACATCTGGGGAAAACCAAACACGAGGAGCCAGGGAGAGACGAGGAACGTAGACCACAGCATGGGAAGACAGCTAAGACAAGGAACCAACAAAGAGTGAGAGCAGAGGGAGAGCATATATAGCAGAGAGAGACAAAGGCAGGGCTAACGAGCAGATAAGGAGCAGGTGTGAGGGGAGACAACGAGGGAGCCAAGGGGAAAGGAACACACACACAAGAGGGCAATAGAGGACAACAGAAAAACACGAGAACTAATATAAATCTAGAAATTACAACAAAACTGTAATTAAACCAATAAAACTAGAAAACAAGGAGCAAAGTAAAGAACAACAGAACCAAGACCATGACAGTTAATAATATTGAGCATTTAAACATTTACAGAGATTTCCAAATGAACATATCTAAAAGAGCATTAGAATAGAAAAGAAACAATAAAAATATGTTTATCATGTATGAAGTTTTGGTGAAGGCTGACTCTTTCAGTTCATAGGTCCGTATTGGTCGCCTGCTTCAGACCATAACACCTTCTTCTTATCTGAGCTCAATTCATTGAGTGTTTCCCACTTATTCAATACAGAAAACTAATGCTGCAAATCAGCCTGATTACATGGAGAAACCTGGTAGCGGCAGCAGCATGTGGTGAGGAAGCTTGTTGGTTGAGTGGAGGAGTTGTGAAACACTAGAATTACCACCTAAGTGACTGTTCTTTATTATTTATTGGATGGTTATGGATTGTGAAATGAAACACAATAGCAATCAATGTATTCATTAAACAAACTGGGATGGTATCCCATTTATCCAGTCACTCAAAGTTGTTGTGTTGTTTTCTCCAAAAAAGCAGAGTCGAAACTGCAGGAAGGTTAGTCTATTGTCTCGATAAGGAAATTCTGGACGGAGACTGTAAACTATTCTGTTTGGGCGAGCTTTGACATCTTGGAGAGCACCAACTCAAAGAGAGTGAGGTTTTATTATTTAACTCTTATCTGTTTGCATTGATTTTACCTCCAACGAGGACATGCCTTGTTTTTCCAGTGAAGGAGATGTTTGCACACATCATCACACTGCCTCCACATAAGGCTGTTGGGCAAAGGATTTTGGCTGTTTTTTTTTTTTTTAAAGGATGCAACCTACATGCACAATGCTACAGCTCAACTAGCAGATGGATTTTCCTTATAAATATTGCATAATATAGTCGGAAATAAGCCGATTTTTTTCAGTCTTGTGACACCAGTGGCCGTTATTAATCAGCAGCTTAAAAAGAAGAGGTGCAGTCAGAGAAGGGCAGGACATTCATTAAATAGTGCAGGGTTGGGAATTGAACTCATAACAGTTTTATGGAGGAACATAGGCGTCATTTATAGTACACCTGCTGACTGAGTCACGTCCCCCCTCCAAAAATAAAGAGGCCTTATTACGAAGAAGCATTATTATTAGAAAGAAATCAACCAAAATACATCTCTTTTTGGGAATGTTCATGATACAATCTAAAAAAAAAATGCACCAAATCTTTTTTCTAAAAACGTTTCACACTCTGAACTACATCAGCTTGCCAACTGAGATGTGTTGAGAAATACCCAGGGGTATTGTAACTGCTAGTTCATCTCCAGGGCTGGATGGAGAGTCGGATAACCCGCAGGTGAAATTTGCCAACAAAGATTCCCTGAATGTGGAGTATCTCCACATTGGATGCTTCAGTTTACAAGGGGAGCTGCTGAGTGTCTTTACAAGCAGCCCCTCTGATTTAAAGCTTCTGTCTGCTGCCTGTTTCCCAGAGATGGGAAAGGATCATGGGAGGGAATTAAAGGAGCCTGACTGACCAATTCATCAGCAAGCAGTCGTCAGAGTCCCACCTCTTCCCTCTGGGGCATACCAGAATGAATTACCATCAGCCCTGCAAATATGAGACTTTCTGCAGGCTCTTACTGAGTGCAGTTAATTCACTGCTTCATGTCGTATTGCTTTTTTCAGACACACTTGAGTTCCAAAGAAAGGCTGCGACACAAGTTCTTTCTGAATCACATAAGACTAATCCTAGAAAATGACGGTCAGGAGACATTTTCTGATACAGATCTTAGGTAAATCCTATTGATTGCGGTGCACAGTGTCTGATATGGATTTGCTGTGCATTGAGTTGCTTTAAGAATGAAAAACCTAGCAAAGTAGGTCTGTTAATTAGAGCCAACATTTGTAGCAGGGTAACAGCAGGGTAGATTGTTGGTCACTGGACGGTCTTTTCCTGTTTTTTCTCTAGCGAGGCATGTCCTGGAGCCGTGCTTGCCTAGCGGATGTATCTGTGTTTCTTAAAGCGTTACGGCTCCCTCACATTTAGAAGGTGAAGAGTCCTCACAGATGGTCCCGCAGATGGTCCCCGTCACACCAGCACTGTGAGCACAAAACATTGATAATTTGTCAGCGCAAAGATCAAACAGACTACCACACATACTGTCACCCAAAACAGAGTTTCTCAATCTGTGGCGCTCTATGATTCACCCTCCTTTCACCTAAATCCACTTTAAGGTGCAGAAGGCACGTACTAATGCTTTAAAGAGAGAACTTACTCAGAGCAAAGGGCCATGTGGTTGAGGGTTGTAAATAATTAAAAAATGCTGAGTGATGAGTTCTTTCTGCAGTGGAGGGCTCTGTGTGGTGCATTGCTTTACAGTCTTGCGTCGTTCCGAGGCACAGTGTGTTACCATGTTGGCATCTCAGCATTTTCTTAAAAGATGGAAGGAGCTTTG